CATCTGGACCAGCCAGTAGCCATAGTGAGCTGGGGCTGAAAGAGCATAATTTAATTTCTTGACTGCTATACAAAGAATGGTGAGACACAGGATGAGTATTCAAGGGAAATTTAAGCAACAGTAAATTCTAAGGACTGTTATGCAAACCTAGCAATACCATAATAGCCCTAGATATTGAACTGACATAGGAATTTAACAAGAAATTCCAGATTTTGAAAGGAGGAAACACAACATTCTTGGAGTCTGAGGATGGAGGTGAGTGAGAGCAGAGACTGCAGAGCAAAGGGGGACAACAGTCAGATCCATCCCCTCCCCCACAGTGGTCAGGGATGTGCCAGGGTGAGGAGGCAACTGGGGTGGTGGGCAGCTAGAGAGAAGTCTTGAAAATATTCATAATGCAAAAATAAAACTGGAGTCGAAAGTTTCATAATGGATAAATAAACTGGAGGATTTTGAAAGTCAGGGTGGAGGTAGGATCGCTATGTGAATGTCAAAACGGTTTTGAATGTGGAAATACTAATTTGGACCTGCTAAGAGAGGAAAGAAATGGAGTCCAGAAATCTGTGACTCTTGAGAAACTAACTCACTTGGTCTGTGACTTGTGTGTCCCCTTAGGAAGCACCTTGACTGGAGACAGATTATTCACACTCACTGCTTGTCATCAAGCACGGTGCTCTTGTATGACAGCAGAACTGCCCCATAGGACTTCCAATCTTTGTAGGAGCAGACTGCCCATCTTTTCAGGTTGGAGTCAGGGACTTAAGCCACTGCACCACAGGCGCTCTATATTACTCAGAGAGACACTTCTGAAAGGCTTTGCCGAGGAAACATTCTAGTTATTAAAACAGTGCTGTTTTGGAAGTATTTTGAGGCTCCAGAATAGCAGCTCACAGACCTCTTCAGGAACCAGGGTTCTGAAGCAGTTAAGTCATGGCCAAACAAGCAAAAATGGAAGACACTCACTCTTCTAAAGTTTGAGCAGATAGGTCTGAGATCTGGAATGAAACACTCTAGGGTAAAGCTCTGGGACAGGAGCCTCAGAAGATGGGATTGGCTCATGGGAGAAAGCACAGCGTGATCCACTTTTAGGCTGCTGTCTTTGATCTGGGCACTTGTGTTCCCACTCTTTGGGGAGGAGATCTGTTGTTAGGCAATATGCATGCTATTCTTTTCTTTTTTTTTTTTTGGTAAGTTTCATTTTATTAAATGTGACTGAAGTAGACACCATGGTGATTAAAGAATTTAGCCAAGGTAGCTTAGACAGACTGCTGGCCCACCAAGATCTTCAACACAACAGCTGGGTACCAAAGGACTATCTGAAGGAATGGTACAAATGAAAGAACTTAAGTGTGTATTTTGGTACAACTTATAGAAAAGGTAAAATAAACAAGACATGCAGGTGGCCTGGTAGTGACCACGGAGTCATCCCTGTGGCTATGGGGAGGCCGGGCTAAAGCTTCGCTCAGCTCTCGCCGTAACTGTCTCCCACGGTGTGCTTGTCAAAGAGATACCCGGCCAGACCTGAGTCCGGGGCTCCCATCTTGCGCAAGTTGGTTATGTAGTCACCCAGTTGTTTGATGGATTTCACCTGCTCATCCAGGTAATGCGTCTCAATGAAGTCACACAAATGAGGGTTGTTCTTGTCAGTGCCAATTTGTGCATTTCTAGTAGGAACTGATTCACACTTTTCTCCAAGTGTAGCGCACACTCCATTGCGTTCAGCCCACTCCCCCAGTCATCCTGGTCTGTTTCTTGATGTCCTGAAGAAAGATGCAGCTGCCTCTCTGGTTCTGCAGTTTCATCAGTTTCTTGGCATGTTCCCTCCCCTTGTGGGATTGGTGGAAAAAAACATTTGGCAAAATTCTTCAAAGCCACATCATCACGGTTGAAGTAGTAAGACATGGACAGATAGACATAGGAGGCGTAGAGCTCCAGGTTGATCCGGCGGTTGATGGTGGCCTCCGAGTCCTGGCTGTAGTTCTGGCGTACCTACAAAGGGGACGCGGTCATGGCGGCAGTGGTGGAGAGGCGGCTGAGTGGCGCTGGAGTGGAGGTGAGGACCTTGGGGCATCTGGGGGTGCTGATGTGAGGAGGTGGCAGAGGACTGGCTGGAAATGACCGGCGAGGGGAGATGCAGGTGAGCGCAGGGTTCTGTTCAAGCACTGTTGAAGCAGGAGACCACAGAGACTCTGCGAAGACTGTCTCTATGTATGCTATTCTATGACGAAGATCATGTTTCTAGCAAGACTGTGACCTGTTATTTCTCTTGGCCCAGGTCTCGTTTCTCCCATAGCCATGGAGTGTGTTTCAACACACAGCAATTCTGCAGGAAACATCACTGCCTACAGAGGTTCCATGGGTCTAATCTCTATGGAGGTACATGATTGATCAGTTCACACTGATGACTTTCTGGTTAACTCAGTGCCTGTGCCACCAGAGGTCAATGATTAGCATGCAGTTCACCCAAAGTTTCAAAGGTGAATCTGTTCCACTGTCACTCTCTTAGCCAAGGCAGAACTATACTGAACTGACTTGAAAGCCTGCCAGTAATCTCTTGGTGAAACACCTTACCACTTCCTTGCCTCAGAGACTAACTTGTCTTTTAATCACAGAAGTGAGATTATCCCTGATGGCTTCTGAGAAAAATGCCTCAAGATCTCAGGAGGTGAATGAGATCATGAGACGCTTCTTATAGACCACCTTCCTTGTCTCCCAACTGCAGTCTATGTCTTCCTTTTGCTCTGTTCCTTCACCTTTTTTTGGTATAGGGATGGGGCTAACACTGTCCTTTCTGAGCCAGACCCTGAGATATACAGAATTACACTTCCAACTTCTGTTGAGCAATCTGGCCATGACATAAGTGAGTGCTTTCTGAGATATGCTTTGACTAAAGTGGGGTGTGGGAGCCACTTTTAAAAACTGTGAGAAAATGATATAATGAAATGACTAATTGTTGTTGTTGTTATGTGC